TATGATAATTTTTGTCTACTGTCTAGTTAGTGAATAACCCTCACCCTCCCTCCCTACCCTTGTAACCATCAAAGAATGTTTTCCTCTGTGTTGAAACCTTTTCTTGAGTTCTTATAATAGTGGTCTTATACAATGTTTGTCCTTCTGGGACTGACTAAATTCACTCAGCATAATGCCCTCCAGATTCGTCCATGTTATGTTTCACGGCTTCATCATTGTTCTTTATCGTTGTATAGTATTCCATTGTGTGAAAGAAATATTTTTTAATTCAGGAACCCCAAAATTCAACTTCATTGCTTACATGTATCAAGTTAATAATCTTGAATTTTTATTGAAGACACTGTCTTAAAGAACCAGAATATAATTTTGTTCATAATTGATAGCTTTGATGCTTATACTGGAAAGCATCACGATTATGTGAAACCCTGTATGCAAAATTCACAATTCAACTTTCAAGTGTTACCTCTTGAAGCATCTAAATAAAACATTTATGATTAGCCAGCAAAGCCCTTAGCCAGTGAGGTTGTATCACTATATTTGACAGCTCTGATACATAAGAAAAGCTCGACAATTGGGAGCCCAGGGGATTGGATTAAACAGGGAGATGGTTATAGTAATTATATGGAAGTCTACATCAGAATACCCAGTGACCTCAGAATGGGGAGAAATCTGTCTGACCTTTCTCTTCTATTTATGTAGCATTTTAAGTCAGAAGACTTAACAATCTTATACTTTTCTTTGCTTTTTTCCATAGAGCTAATTGAGTTTTGGGTACGTAGCTTATTAAACAATTGTATCTCCAGACCTTGAATTCTATTTATGTGCCTCTTGTAAGTAACGGTATAGGTGGGAAAAACAAAAGATGTCTGTTTTCTCTTATTTGTTATATAGAATCTAGAACTTAGGAATAGTTGTGGCTTGACATATTTGTCTAATAAGGGTAAATTCTTTCATTTTAATGCTTGGATAATGAAGGTAAGAATTTTTCCAGGACATATTGATACAATTGTAGGCTTTCCTGGTACCGTTTCTTGCATTTGCCACCTCCTGCCATTTACTTAATGGATGGGAGTGAGTGATTACAGTGTAATGTGAAGGATGAGGCGCTACATGTGACAGGGGACTTGGGAAGTTGTTTCTGAAATCTTTGTGGAAACCTTCTTTGAATCAGTCTTGGCCTCTGGTATCATCTGACTTCTATGGTATGGGAGGAAGCACTAAGGACTAAAATCTAAAATCCTCATCCTTGGCTATAGTGGAATGCAGACCCAATCATATAGAAAAGGAGGACCAACTGTGCTAAAGACCTGAGCAACATGTGGAACTGGCAGCGGTGGCATCTTTGTGTCTGAGGCAATGATAGTAGTGAATTCAGTTTCATCTCTGCTTAGATTTAGACATAGATGTTTAATTTTGGAAGTGATGTAAGAGAATAGGTAATTTTTTCCAGGCGGGGAAAATATTTATGCTTAGCAGATACAGTAATTATAGGCGAGTCTTTCCAGTTTGAATCAAAATGAGGATCAATTGTCAGGGGCCAGAGGTACAAGATAGGGTTCTGGGGAGAATGGCATGCAACCAGAAAATGAAAGCAGAAGCCTGTTGCACAGCCTGGGTAAACAGTGGGATTGGCAGCGTAAACACAGAGACTGTAGCTTGAAGAGCACAGTCGAACACTTGAAATTAATTTGTGTAATTCTAACCAGCTTAAAAAATATTTATGAACATCTATACAGCATAAAGGGTTAGTTAGACACTGGGGGCAAGAGAAAGACTTCTAGGAGGAAGACCTTGACGTTTGTTACTTATGGTCTTTTGGAGGATAGAGACCTGAAAATTGTAGGATTTTGTACATGTTAGGATAGGAATACCAACAGAATTTTGAGTTTTTTATTTCTGGGGAAAAACAAACAAACATTGTTCCATTGGTAATGGGGAGGCATCGAAAAAGTGGTGAGAGTTAACTCTTTCTGTTTATTTGTTTAAACAGATTACTTTTGGTGGAAGTATAAGGTGTTTGAGAGATGATGAGGGCTAAATGAGGGACAGAGGCTTTTGAAATGTGGAAGAATGAATGAGGAATTCTTTTTCACAAGAAATGCAGATGGTGCTTTGGGAATAATTGAAAACATGGTAAAAATATTACAAGATTTATAACAGATGACTGAGAAGGCAGTGGCACTATTACTACTTGTTACTCTTAAGTGTATTGTAAAAGATATGACAAAAGCAAAGTAGAAAGTGATTCATGATGTTAATGCTGGGATGATTGTGGACATTTTCATTTTCTCAATGTATGGGGACTTTCTTTTGTTTATTGCTTATCAGTTGAATCAGGGAATTGTCAATCTTCCTGTTTTCAGTACTAGATACTAAGTGCTGAGATAATAAACATTACTGTCTTCAACACATTTGGCCAGTAGAATTAAATAAAAAGTAGACTCTTTACAAATCTCATAAGGATAAAAAGCTTTTCATATTGTGACAGCTGTATACAATGATTTCAACCTATATTCAAGCAGTGAGCAGGAACATTTAGGGGATTAGATATCTTTTATGTGTTGTTTATCAAAGAGAAGAAAATGTCATTAAAAGGACAAAACATGGGGCAGTGTAGTCTGTTTAAGAAATGGGCTTATTGAAAGAAAAGCAGAATTCTCTTCCTATGAAGGGGCAGTGATCCATGTTTTCTACCTCCCTTTTCCTACCTCTCCTTCTTCTCCTTAGGTGGAGGCATAGGCATATACATTTATAAACCACAGTGAAACATTATTTTGGAATAAGGAGAATACAGAATGTGGTTTCCAGTGTTGATGTGCATCGTACATTAGATATGTGATGGTGGTGTGCTGATTCTGCAATGGTAAAAAGATGGAGTTAGGGCCTACTGGTTGTCGATGCGCAAAGCTTTAGTGTTCACATTGTAAAGAGACTTAACATTTTACTGATAAAACCAAATGAATCCAAATAAAATTTTCAAGGACAAAAAAGGAAATAAGGAATTATCACAGTACCATCAGATATTTATATCTGTATTAACCCTGAAATTATCTGTTAATTTGTTTCTTATCTGACTGTTACAGTGTAATGTGGGCTCCATGAGGACAGGGATTTTTCCCTCTTTTATTCAATGGTATATGCTCTGTAGAGGGTGCTCAATAAATATTTGAATAAGGGAATGAACAAGTGAATAAATTTTGCATCTACTTTGGCTATGACACTTGTTGAAAAGAATAAGAGCAATTAAGAATAATGAATGACAGTCCTGATCCTAGGAGTTTGTAATTTAAAGTGATTAATGTGGGTACAGATCTCATAGATATTTTATAGAAAAAAAAGCAATGACAGTACATGTAAAAAATTAGGTGTTTAATTATATATATTTTTTATCTTGCTCAGCTTCATGATTGTGCGGTGAGGTGGAATTGTGTAAGGTTGTGGAAGAAAAAATAAGAAAAAATGGACTCGATTTTTTGCTTAAAATATTTATATGTATAAAAAGGTTTTATTTATTTTGTGAAATACTTCAAACATAGAGACAGGTAAAGATCAAGGTATAATGAATACACAGATACCCAGCGCCGATACTGAAAACAAATGTAATGAATATTCAAGTACCTACCACCCATATTTAACAAATATTACAGTTTCACTTTTTTGATTCAGATGTTTAAAAAGAAATATAACATTTCAGATAGAGTTGAATATCTCTTTGAACCTTCTTCAAACAAGTTTGTTTTCCATTAAATTGTAAGTCTTGTCATACTAATGCATGAATTTAAATAATTTCAGTTCCCTTTTTATTTGAAAGCCATTTTAATAAAGTAAGAAAAAGGTTCAGTGTGTTTTTTTTTTTAATTAAAAAAGCTTAATAGTTTAAACTGTCACATGATGAAGAGGTAAAAGTTTTTAGAAACGATTCATTCAATTTCTTTTCAAAACGAAATTATTTGAAGATCAAGAATATGTTTTTGTTTGCTAGCCTAACACTTCAAAGTTTTGTACTGTGGAAAATTTTCTGTTACCGATGCTCGATATACTTATTTTTTCACTGTGCAGCATTCTTGCCAAAGAACTTCGGTGCCAAACTTTTAACATTGGCTAGTTTGTGTGGGGACAATTGGATGATGGTAGAATTTAATGTTTTAAAAGCTTTTGGTAATATTAAGATTTTTTTAATAATAACTATATATTATTTTGTAATAATAAAAAATAAAGATAAATGTTCAACGTAAGTGCTTTTAAATTATCTTCTGACATGGTATCAGATTCAATATCTCCTTTTTATAATAGATGTAATATTAAAAGAGCAGTCAGATAAGTATATTGCTTATTTATATGCCCCTTTCAAATTTGCTCATACAATTTATAAACAAACAATGTTTTCAGTCGTGCTATTCATGATAATTTGAGGGGATAGCATTATTTTGCTTTAGTTTCTTAACACAAAAATGCTAACAATTTTTTACTTTTCCACACTTGAATATAACTTCTTGGAGGGGAAGTATTACTCTGCTAATTTAAGAAATTAGTGATATACTAATACTTTGGCAAGCCTAACCTGGACTGTATGACTAAAAACTCTTTATGAGCCATCAATACAGAAAATATCTAACCTAACTGATTTATAGAATCTAATATGTTATAGCTTGTTTTTTTTATTATACATTATTTTCTATTTCTGGGAGTAATCAAATTTGAGTAAATCAAAGGCAAGAAATAACATTAACATTGGAAGAAAAATATAACTGTATGTTAATTTTTACTTTTTATTTTCCTCAACATATAGAGTGTTTTGGTCTATGAGGTTCAGCAATTATATTTTAATATAATTAAACTTTTTGTATTTTAATATAAAATTAAGTAAAATAATTTGCTTTGGGTTTTATGCTTTGAAGGATAAAAGACAAAGTTTCAAAGGGTACCATACATTTTGTGAAATGTTTATTCATTTTTACATTGCTATTATCTCAGTGACCATTGTTTCATTTTATTTCTAGATAAAAGAATGGCTCTGTTTAAACTGTCAGATGCAGAGAGCTCTCGGAGGTGATCTGGCTCCAATTCCTCTGTCACCCCAACCCAAACCGAAGACTGCCCATGTTGTTCCTACACCGGCAGTAAGCAAGTCAGCCCCACAATCACAGCAGTCTTCCCCAAAGAAGGATGCTGCCCCCAAACAGGATATCTCAAAGCCTCCTGAGTTGAAAAAGCCTCCACCTCTAGTGAAACAACCAACCCTTCATGGTTCTCCCCCAGCCACGGCCAAGCAGCCTCCTGTAACAGAGCCCTCGGCCCACCCAGCCCTTCCCAGAGAGCCTTCTGTTCCACCTGAGCAGGTCAAGGCCCCCGTGGCTGATGCTAAACCAAAGCAGCCCAAGACAGTAAAGCCGGCCACAGACATTGTATCTTCACCGTCAGCAGCAACAAAACCTGAAGTTCCGAGCTCCAAAGTGCAGTCACAGGCTCCAGAGAAAACCCCTCCTCTAAAAACAGACTCTGCCAAACCCTCACAGAGTTTTCCACCAACAGGAGAAAAAGTCACCCCATTTGATTCTAAAGCCATACCTCGGCCTGCATCAGATTCGAAAATTATTTCACATCCTGGACCTAGTTCAGAGAGCAGAGGTCAAAAACAAGTTGATCCAGCTCAAAAGAGGGAAGATCCCAAGAAAGCACAAACCAAAATGAGTCCGAAGCCAGATGCCAAGCCCACGCCAAAAGTGTCACCAACCCACCCTGGTTCACGACCTACCACTGGCCAAACTCCACCCGCATCACAACAGCCCCCAAAGCCTCAGGAGCAGTCGAGACGTTTCAGTCTGAATCTGGGAAGTATCACTGATGCCCCTAAATCACAGCCCACAACTCCTCAAGAAACTGTGGCTGGGAAACTCTTTGGGTTTGGAGCATCCATCTTCAGCCAGGCATCAAATTTAATTTCCACAGCAGGCCAGCCTGGACCTCATTCACAAAGTGGGCCCGGGGCCCCGACAAAGCAAGCCCCTCCTCTTTCACAGCCACCTGCTTCTCAGGGGCCACCCAAATCTACAGGTCAGACACCACCAGCACCTGCAAAGGTCACACCTGTGAAAAAGGAAACAAAAGCTCCAGTAGCTGAAAAACTAGAGCCCAAAGGTGAACAAGTTCCAACAGTAAAAACAGAAACAGAAAAGAAGCCTCCACCTACTAAGGATAGCAGACCTTCAATAACAGAGCCTCAAAAGGCGGTTCTTCCCCTTAAACCAGAGAAAACCCCCAAAGCAGAATCAGCTTGTCCTCTCTGCAAAACTGAACTCAACATAGGTTCTGAGGATCCTCCTAACTTCAGTACTTGCACTGAATGCAAGAATCAAGTGTGTAATCTCTGTGGATTTAACCCTACACCACACTTGACTGAGGTAAGCCATACCTACGTTATATATGGATATGCAGATACTGGTATAAAATCTGAAATATTTTGGTGGCCAAATTTCTGAGCAAAAATATATGTTTCTAATGAAGAAAACAAATCAATATTGTTGTCTTAGAAGAAGATTTAATTACTCATTAAATGCGTACTCTCTTCTTAAGCGTTCATGTAATTTATACTTGTCTGGGTTAATACACCAGATGTAAGGAGATAACAGAAGCCAACAACCTAAAATAACAGTTATTCCAACCATCTGTGAATTAAAGACCTACAGCTTTGAAGGAATGTATAAAAGCTCAATAAAAGTTGCATTTACTTTTCACACTATCTCTGATATTGCCAGTCTGTTGAAGTATTAAAGAAAAGTTTGGCTAGTTGCATATCCGTAAGCAACATGAAATCTCTCATTTTACAAAAATTGTTAAGAGCTGTGTAAGTTAATAGTGTTTAGTAGAAAATAGTGGTTCAAGTAGATGACATCTAGGCTTTTTATAACTCGGTTTGAGATACTATCTGGCATCAGTATAAAGGAGCATTTTACTAGGAGCTGTGAAAAAAAAAATACTTGGATTTCAGTGATTAACATCAAGGATTATTTTTTCCTTATAGAATGATAAGAATACTTTCTCCACAGTGTTAATGACCAAAAAGCAGATGGCAAACTTCTACCTAATATAGTTATAAAAGAATGAAACTATTACCATTTGTAGTGTGTTGGGGCTACTAGAACATTTGGATCTCGGGAGACTGGGAGTCAAATGATTGCTACTCTCTGAGATAAGTAACAACAATGTTTTAATAAACACTTTGGGAATGAATCTAAAATAATTGTTCATTGTTTTTGTACAGATGAAAAATTGTTAAGCATTTTTTAATTGCACTATCCTTGATTTAGTAATTCTTTGGAATGGAGAAGTTGAATAGGTTTCAGCATCTATACAGAAGTTGTTTCAGGGATTTTTCTTTATTTTTTGATGTAATTTTTGAGTGAAACTTTTTTTTAAACAATAAAACTTTTAGAGTTTTTTTTTTTAATTTTAGAAAGACATTAGGTTGCTTTGATATAATTAGTGCCATATGAAGGTATTGTTCGCTCTAGACTTAAGCAGATTTTTACCCTCTTTTATCTGAGATGAATAATGTTAACTAAGATCCATTTTAAAGGTAGATAATGTTTGGTTTCTTTCAGCACTTCATGAGTGTTAAGAACTATAATTATTACTTGCAGTGTTTTGGATTGAAGTTAAGAGCAAAACAAAAAACAAACCTTAAATTTCTTTCCTATTTTTAGAAGGTCTGTTTTTGGTTGTGTATTCATGCAGAGGGACATTTTGTTTTTCTCAATACAATTCTATGTATTTTATAGATTTAAAAATTGTACCCTTTAATGAGGACCTTTACGGTATAAACACAATGCAATTAATTTAAATAGTTATAAAACAAACTGAACCACTAAAAAACTAAATTATAGTTTCTGCATTTAAAGTGTATTTTGTGCACACTAAAAACAAGTATGTGTAGTGGGGAAGATAACTATAATTTATAAATATAAGTGTATATGTGTGTATATGTATTTATTTGGACTGTAGGTGATTATTAGAATTCTATTAGCACTTGCAAGGGTGAAATGAGAGCCTTTGGATTGAGACAATAAATTTTTCAGGGGATTCTCTGATTTTCTATGTGTTGGTAGATTATAATTTGGAGGTGGTAATTTGGAAAGGAGATTTGTTGAATGAAGCAGAGAATTATCAAGGGTATGTTTGGAATTTCAGTTGTTGAATAGTTTGAAAATACCAAGGGTCTCATGTTTAGATAAGGTCCTATTTTAAAGTGATCAGTGGGATTTAGACAATCTCTCATGTTCAGAGTGTTTTGTTCTGCAGTAATTTCTTTGAATTTGAAAGATCATATTGCAGAGGAAAAAATAATCTGAAGTAACAAAAGTGACTAGTGTTCCTGGCTCACCTTGACTGTGCTAATAATCTACGTGAAGTTTTCTGTTAGTATAAAGCCTTGATGCCTTCTGGTTTCTAGGTAAAGTCCATTGGCTTATCTGGCATCAAGGGAGTGACTGAAGTTAGTTGAGTTAATCCATGTTCAAATTATTATTAGTAGTAGTATCCCAAAGCACTAGGACTTTAGAGGACTGGCAGAAGGGGCTAGTTGAAAAGAATAGCACAATGTATTTGCACATGTGTGTATGTGTATGTACATATATGTGTGCGTGTGTGTGTATTGTGTGTATATACTTCTTTCAAATTCTAGATATGATCCATAGGATTTACTCATGGTGCAATCCTGGTGTTCATACCACTAATCTCTCCTCTTCTCCCTCACTTAGGAGTGATTAGGAAGGTACCTCCTCCTTGATCCTTGTCTTATAGATCCTTTTTTTTTTTTAATTCTGATTGTGACATTTTTCTTGAGGTATTTTCTGCTGAGCCGCTTACTGTACTTTCATCCTAGTCTCAGAAAGCATATTCTGAAAATACCCGCTTTATGCCTGAAATATCAAGAAGTGATCTTCCTCAAGAAAGGATTCAACAATTCTAATTTATTTTTCTAATAAAACATATTTAAGTCTCTATTAAGTCTCTGCTTCTATTACACTAATCAGTGTGAGGCAGGACTTAGTTTCCTGTTGGTGCCACCCTGCCCTCTTCCTCTGGTGGAGAGAAGAGCCAGTATAGTTTGTCATGAGTTTGGGATCTATAGATGGTATTCCCCCTCCCCCACTCATTAATCAAACACACCTGTCTCTAAGGTTGTTTCCTGTCTCTCACACACAGTATCCCCACAGCACCTGAGAAGTGTCAAGGGTCACCTGCAGGGCCCTGGGGTGCAGCCAGGCTTCATCCTAAACTTTAGTATTTAACTGTTTGATGCCTAGTTTGTATAAATGGTACTATAATCTAACTTCTGATAGCAAGAAACAGTTCTTTTAGGCTTTCATTTCTGTCACCTCAGGGAAGATCTTGTCTTCCTTGGGGTTTTAAAAGTGGCAGTAAGGCTTTCTAAAAGAGCTAGTCTTAGAGAATTCTGAAGCATTGCTGAGGACAAAAGTCTAATTTGGCAATCAATTTACTTAGTGAATTTCTTTCATTCTGGTTCAGTTGAAATGTAAAAGGAGTCAAACTCGGAGTGGGTACTTCTTTCACTGTTTTTATTATTTTTTTAAAGTAATCTTTAAACTCTGAAAATAATACTTTAAACTATATATCCTCATGTTTTAGCAAGTTCTGGAGTTACAATTTTGCTTTCTTAGTAAGATAATTAGGCAAGGCCTAAATGATGTAGGGGTAGGTAACATATTTGTTGAAAGGCAACGAATGAGCTTTTTGAGCAGATTAAGGCCCGGTGGTGTGACTGAAATTTTCTCAGATTTTAGCCAGTGGCTTCTGCGTTCTTTAGCAAATACTCAAGTGTGGCCTTGTTGAGGATGTGTTGCTTTTCATTTTGGCAAACATGTAGTGTCTTGTCTTTACCTTAAAGATCATCATTTAAATCATATGTCCAGTCCTAAAAAGCATTTAAGTTTATATTTAAAAGAGAAATTTAAGTAAAGGCTAAAAGTGTTACAAGAAATCAATGAGGAGGAAAGAATTATCTCCTACCAATAATCAGTGTCAAAAGAATTATGTGAGGGACATCTAGATTCTGCACAAAACTTTCTGGCATCCGTGGCAAAGAGGGACACCTGATGGTGCTCTCGATTGAATGTGGTGCATAATCTTCTCTGTAGAAACAAATTTTTTAGTCATTAATTTTTAGGAAATATTTGACATTATCTTTTTATTAAGTGATATTCAATCAAAATAAATCCAAATATAGATTTAAAATAAAGAGTTTAAACAAAAATGCAATTTCACCGTTAGTCTTTTTTCTATGCATTTTGACATGGTTAATATTCTACTTTATATGATAGTTCTTTGTCCTAATGAAACACTTTTAAAATGTCATTTAAAATAATTATTACTCAGTTCTATGGTTGTATGTTGTTTCATACCCATTCTCCTCATATTAGGGATTTAGGTTGTTGTCATTTTTTAAATTATAAGTAAGATGAATTTTTTTGTATATAAATATTTATCTGTATTTTAAACTATTTTACAAGTAAAGCTTACTAATCTTAGGGTTTCTAAATCAAGGGATAAGAACTCTGAAGTGTCATATTCTCTTTGGGGATATTGCTGTAGAGTTTGACTCATAGTGACCCTATAGTATAGAGTAGAACTTCCCTCTAGGGTTTCCAAGGCTGTAAGTCTTTTTTTTTTTTTTTTTTAATTTTTTTTAAATGTACTTTAGATGAAGGTTTACGGAACAAATAGTTTCTCATTAAACAGTCAGTACACATATTGTTTTATGACATTGGTTAACAACCCCACGACATGTCAACAC